TATTATCTGAACTGCACATTGCCTTGTACATTTATGATGTTCGTTACAAATCCACTTCAGTACTCGCTTATTGAAGTACGTGGCGTGTATACTGTGTAAGTTTCCATACAGATTAACTATTTACTAACCATGAAATACGTTAAGTGAGAAAACTGAACAGGCACTTGTCTCTAAAAAAATACCTATATACTTTAATTCAGAGACAATAAAGTGCCTGTGGAAAATTGTCCAGAGATATTATAATGACATACTCTGATCCCTAAGCACACACACAAGCAGGTCGTATAAACAGCGAACAATAAGAACAAACGACAATATAAAGTAAAATGATTTAATGAATATAGGAAACGGACAAAACCATCAAATACAGAAAAAAAGATCCAAGCCACCACTACAGAACACTATAATTGACCTTGTGGTGAGCATTTCAACTTCTATCTTCTGTTCTATGGTAGAAAGATTTTGTAACATATGAAAAAAAAACTCGCCAGTGATGTTATCCATTCATTTGCCTTTTACAATTCATTATATTGAATGCAAATGATGGATCGTATTCCAGTTTCTCTTTGTCGTTCAAAAGCAATTTGTCGACAGACACACTCTCTGCATTACTTTCTGCTTAACTGCTCCACGTGTTTCACTTTCGTTTTGAGTGCAAGAATCGTATCGTCCTCTTTAAATTTTGTAATTTCACGACGTTTTTTCTCATTTTATGTTACCATCTTGAGTCCATTACGCTAAACTAAAAATGAACTGGCACACTAAGCCACAATTTTTATGTTTATAGGTCATTTAATGTCAATAATCATATAGTCAAAATCAGGTCATGAATCAAATTTCATCTGTTCTTAAAATAAGATGCAAATGAGTCTATACAGAAGTAATAACAATTTAAAGTTTAACTCACCATGACTATGCTAGTTTGGTCTAAATGTTGTGTATTCGTTTACTAACTTTGAAACTTATAAAAACAACTACAGGGGACGCAACCGGTGTGTAAACGGATTATGGATTAACCTGAACAAAACGAGGTCCAGTGGGGTATATAAAAGAAATAAGATTGAGAAGTTTCGGTTTATTCTTTGAATTATCGAGGCATTCATGCCTCCAATTTTTCCAATTGTGTGATTTCCATTATAATTTCATCTCTAAAACGAAATATAGTACCTTAACTGCTTTAAAATCTGTCCTCGGTCTATAAACTTTTATATACCGGTAGTGTAGAATAAATTATATATACATGATCTATATGCCTTTCAATTATCAGAATTATTAATTAAATTAATGTTTCATCGAGCTAGTTTTCAAGCTTTTTTCCTAATTTGTTAGATCTATTTTGAAATTTCATAAATTTAGGTCATTGATTTTTATTTATCGATATGAAAGAAGACCTATGACCTAATAAAACCTGGGATACGTGAGCATGGCGAGGTATACGTGAAGAAGATGTCAACATGCTGTCTTCAACTATAAACAAGTGGCACTTGGTTACATGCAGGAAATAACACAGTGAAACGTGCACCGTTCTCGTTTTCTGTTCACAGTAAAATGGACTTTCAGAATCAGGATGCATTTCCTGAAAACACCTACGAATCCTCGCGCTATTCATTCTGGTTGGGATGTTTAATGAAAAAAACTAGTAATTCTCCTATGAACGTTAAAATGTTAATCTAATGAAAGAGATTACTAAGAATGAGGATTGAGACTTCTTCTTTTGGCTGATTTTTGCAAGTATTCGGTCTTGTCTATGGCTACCAGGTCATGTTTTATAGCACATGATGAGTCGTGCTTCTTCATGAATTTTCAATCCTGGTTCATTATTCATGTTGCTGACATTGGATCTATTTCTATGCCACAGGGCTACATATTGTGTGACGTGTCTTTGTCTTTTTATATATAGATGTGGTTTCGCTGATACGGGGGATCCGATACAGTACTGGTATATTCCAATTGTGGTCTAAGCATGCTTTTTGGTGGACTTGGAGCTGATGTGGAGGTTTTAGTGTAGGTAACCAGGGCTTTGATTGGCTTTACTTGTGATGCTGTTTATGCATTTTCTCCAATCTACTAGTATATCATTTGCGATGATATGATGACGCTGCATTTTTCAGAATGAATCTCCGTCAAGTATACTACTATATCGTCTGCAAACAGTATAACTGGTGAGTGTAGGCCTTGTGGTAGGTCGTTTATGTAAAACTGAAATAGACTGGGTCATTAAACTGATCCTTGTGGTTCTCCAGATACTATACTTTCACGTTGTCAGATTTATTTGCCTTCGACAACTACTACTTGTGTTCTCAATCTGTTTGTGAAAAATCATGTATCCACCTGTTTATCTTGATTTCTTATGCCATAGTTGTTTAGTTAATGATAAAGTAGACTGTTGGACATCTTGACAAATGCTTTTGAGAAGTCTTAGAATTAGCAGATCCGTTTTCAAAATTTTTTTGTGATATCGTCAATACATTTAAGGAGCTGCATGTGTTTCACTTGATCATTTTACTCCTGAAGCCATTTTGGAGAGGGTATATGAAGTTATTTGTTGTTGCGCGTTTCATGTTACTGGTTACTATATATGTTTGCTTAACTATTTGTTTGGTCGGTTAAATTCGAATTTGCCATTAGTGGTGCTTTTTCGTCATATAAGTCCTCATTAAACGTACTAATTTTTTTCAGTTGAAGCCCGGAAAGGGATGTCAATACAGAGATGCGCGCTGTCATGGCAGCACTTGAAATCCGTCAATTTTATTCACATTGTATTATTACAACCCCCTACTCCAAAGTTGTAATTTGACCGCCAAACATGTCCTTCAACTAATTCCCAACATTTAATATATTGTTTTGCCTTGGTACTTATTACTACATAAAAATAATTGTTTGGTTCGTTTTCAGCACAGACACTTGGTCTCTGTAAAAGACTACCGATATACCTGTACTTCAAAGGAACACGAATTTTTCGAGAAAAAAAATGCAAGGGATCGATGCCACCAGTTAAGATCAATTAAGGCAATGTCTTTCATCGTATATCAGTTCAGTCGAAAATACCTCCTTTCTTTAAAGATCAGTCTGTTTCTATCAGATCTTATACCTATGACTAAAAGGAGTATGTTCGATAAGACTCCGATATGGCCGTATTTCTAGCTTTTACTTTTCAAATTAGTATTTAATTGCCATTATCGTAATGTAGCATAGCTTTAACAATATTAAGCATAAATATTAATTTTCCACCAAATTCAATGAAAACAATGATAAATGTAAATTTTAATAGGTTTTGGGGATCAGAAACATACAGCACATGCGTCCTCCCTACTTCGATTTCGGGATTTCCAGAAATATTTCAGGACCTCCACAAATAATCGGTCAAAAGTGCTTTATTGCAGGGGGTTAATATTTATGGAGCTTCATCATTTATATATTTCAAGTCATACACAATTCAATTTCAGGATATCTTTAAATGTTTATGGAGCGATGTCCACATCTTATTTCACGACCTCCACAATCCTGAAATCGAATAATGAAGGTCCTGAAATAATAGTGGACCTCCATAAATATTTTAAAAAGGATATCCTAAAAAGGAATTGTGGAGATTATGAAATATATAATTAAGAATGAAGGATATTCTGAAATATTTAAAGAATCCTAAAATAAAGCAATTTTGACCGACTATCCTGAAATCGGATAATGGCGGTCCTGAAAATATTTTATGATATCCTGAAAACGAATTATAGAGGTCCTGTATTCTGAAATCAAATTATGACTATCCTGAATAACTAATAAATTACTTATTAACTAACTTAGCAATTTAATTATGCTTTTGACACTTGAAACAGCACTCCCAAGCCTGAAACAACAATCAAAGTGGCTGAAGCATTGTAGGGTGAGGATTGCTTTCATTTTGCAGTGGAAACTAAAAATCCTATGAATTGGAGTGTTTCAACTACAATTATCATAAAAGAAGATAACTCCAATTTAAATATTACTTTAACAATGACATCATTGATATTTTTAGAAATGATACTAGATTCATGCACCATACACAAGTTATGTAATTTTCTTGTCAAGTACCGGTATGGTGATACACATACACATCATTTTGTAACTTGAATATCTTGAGTATATATTTCATTGATAATTTCTTGATGTTAATAGGTAGGATGTATGGAATGTTGTCCTCAATGCATTGTGTTTTGTTTATAGAACAAAAGTGGTAATACAATCTGGAAAATTGAAAACTATCGAACCAGCCACATAAGGGTTTGATTGCATGAATGCAATCTTCACCCCCTCCCCCCTAAAAAAAACTTAGAATAGTCCAACAAATGATCAACACCTGTCCAATGTCAGTGTTTGCTTTTACTGATTTTGGTTTTTTTATTTTGTCATTTAGGGATTTAGTATTACATTTGTAATAGCAAATCTTTAAATCTGTATAATTTATGGACAACTTTTGTAAACTGGGAGTTATTTAGAGTTTGGCATTGTACAAAGACAACAATAATTATACTATCTTGACTCTTAGAGGCCTTTTTTTGCCTTTTAGTTGCTGCCTCATTTTTCTCCCCATGTCTCCTTTTATTCATAAATGTGTCCTGCTTCTGACAGAAATCTCCCCATTTCACTGGCTTAGAGCAACCTCATTTTGGCAGTACATGTATTTTGCTATGTAATGACAGTATATGTCAATCATGAATGTCAACTACTTACCAAACAAACCTGAATTATATCTATTTTATCAGTCTTGGATAGTAATGGAGATATAACCAGAAAACTAAACAAAATTCCATGGTTTCTTAAGCTAGCTAGCTCAGTCTAATTAAAATAAGTTATCTGCATTTGCTCCTCATTTTCATTCAGGTATTAATATGTCATGTGTGGAAGCTTTTATGCCCGACATATAAACAACCAAACAAAACTTGGTAGCAAGGGCGGATAACTAATTTTAATTAGATTGAAAGTTAGCTTGGTATAGATTTGGTTCATTTCAAACAATAGAAAAATTAAGACTTTTATAAAGATCTTTATTCATAACATTAAGCATTTAAATATCTTTAAGAAAAAGTACATATAACTTAGAGGAGGAAGCATGGTGACCATAATTTCCTCTCTGAAATAGCAAAAATAGACAAATTCTTCAATGAATCCTTTCAAAATTGTGTTAATTCTTAATGAATAAGTAGATAGAATCTAAACACTTAGTCCAGAGATGTCAGTTTTGATGTCATTGACATCATGAACATTTTAAAATGGATATGTTTGTAAAAAAATGACCATTTTACACATAGTTATGGGGAAAATGATAGATCCACATTAATAATTGTGTATAATACATCTTTTATAGCAAATACCTTTTTGAACAAGGCCATGGCTCATATTGAAATATTACAATTTACAAAAGCTCTCAAAATATGGCTATTTCGGCAGTTGATGCAATTTGCATTTGAAGCAAGTATCTGAAGTCACATAGAGCACATATGTATGGCAAAATTCATCAATATAATTGCCAATATCTGACAGACTTAAGTCTTAAGAACATCTGAAGAAAGTTATTTGATAGATATATTATACTTTTTTCTTCTTTGGAATTTAAGGAGTAATAAGAGTGGTCTTATCATACCTTCTCTTCTATGAGAATTAAAAATCATATTATTGAGTTTGCTCTCAAACAGAATGTGTGTTTAAGGCAACATGCTGATATATCAGGTATGGTCAGAAGGAATTTTTTTTTAAATATCTTTAGAAAAAAATCTTACTTTAACATTGCGTGTACAGAAAACATGATAAACAAGAATGTGTCCATAGTACATGGATGCCCCACTCGCACTATCATTTTCTATGTTCAGTGGACTGTGAAATTGGGGTCAAAACTCTAATTTTGCATTAAAATTAGTAAGATCATATCATAGGGAACATGTGTACTAAGTTTCAAGTTGATTGGACTTCAACTTCATCAAAAACTACCTTGACCAAAACCTTTAACCTGAAGCGGGACAGACGGACGAACGCACAGACCGAAAACCATAATGCCCCTCTCCTATGGTAGGTGGGGCATGAAAATTAGGGTATACCTGTATGTCAAAAAAGAATCAAAGAATATATGATTAACCTAAACATACAAGTTTTAAGGCCTCTTTATATGATGAATATACCTATGAATAATTTATTGAAAAGTTCATAAAAAATTCTTCTTTTTTGGGGTTTCAATACAAATCATCATTATGTTAATGCTTAGGTCAAGTGATAACAAATTGTATAATCCTGTATTATGGCTGTATAATAATATATTTTATGATTTTGAAAAATGTTTTGAAATGAATTGTGTCAATAAGACTCAATATTACAGTCTTATAAGCACTATATTAATATATACAATTAAGCATTGTTGGTCCCATTGTCCCCCCCCCCCCACCCCCAACACCTACAAAGCATATCCTGATAATTTAGCCAAAATCAAAATTTAAAAGCCTTATTATAATGTATTTTCACGTAGAATTTTGTTGTGCAATTTCCTCCAAAGCCAAAATTAATGTTCTGTTCTCTTTGTGCATATCACAGGCACTTGTCTCAGAAAAAATTATTAAGGTATATAGGAAATTTTTTTTCTGAGACAAGTGCCTGTGGTGCATATGAATGGAATAAATAATGATCTACAATACAGATATAATACCATGCAGTTAATCATTATATCAGTAATTTCGAAAATAACTACAATTCTACAAAAACTCATTATAAATAACTTCAGTGTTTATATGAACCTGTTGTCTGACACCAATATCAGTTGACAATGAAAGAGGCAGAACAAAACATACTTAACTTTTATTTTTTGAGATGATTAAATTAGAAAGGCCTGAAAAGTACAGATAAACACAGATAACAGATTGTAAAGAATAATTAAATCTTTAATTGTTTATCAATTATTTTAAACATAGTTTTAACTAAAAATCAGATATAAAACAAAAATCAATGAACAATGAAAAGATAATAGGTAAAAAGTGAGAGTTATGTGTCAGTTTTCAATTCTAAATTGAGGTGATTTAAAACATAAGCAATGATAATTATGTATATTTAAATCTTTTGTTTTTTATTCACTAGGTATTTTCAATTTTTGCACTATCAAAATGAAATCTTAACATCAGCTACTTAAAATATCATTTCAACCAATTTGCCAACATAACCACTGATAACATCTTGTCTGTGTTTACTGTCATGATAAGTTGTTTTATGACTGAAAGCTTTTTGCTCATAGACATTTAAGTGATAATGAAATAATATGAGCATATTTTTTATCAGACATGTGACCACATATATAATGAATACCAAATGCTATTAATGATACATTTTAAAGTTGCATTTATACAAGCTTTTTTGTGTAAGTTTCCTTAAAACAGACTCTATTTAGCTCTGAATTTACAAAAAGAAAGACTTTGTTAAGCTTCAAAGTTCACAGTAGTACAGATTCTTTTTGAGCAATAATACAGATTCTATTAAGCTCCAAATTTCACAGAACCAGTAATTTCTGAAGAGCATTACAAACATATTTTTCTTGTGGAAGCAGTAAATGTCCATCTACCATTGTATTTGTTTCAAAGGAACACAAGGAAATGCTTTTGATTTAAATATGAAAAATGAAAATCAAATACATCTATGATACTGCAGCCATATTTCATTACCTGTATTTATATTCCCTGTTTTGATTACATTTTCTGTATGTATACCACCTTGAAAAAAACAACCTTCAACACAATCTAGTAACAAAGCATCTTAAGTGAACATAAATATGCACCACAATTATAACAGGTTAACATGTATAACATCCAATACACAGATGCTTGACGCATGGATCTCCCTTTTTCTATTTCTATTTTTTGGCGTTTTTTTTTGGTTCAGTAAATCTTCTTATTTTTACTTTATTTCTTTAATATAGTCTTGCTGTTATCCATACGACATTACAATTACAGTAGTTAATATATTATGCCTCTCTCTTCTTAATATTCTTTTAATGCCATATGGATAAGAGCAAGAACACATTAGATTACTAAAGATAAAAATTTAGACAACAAAAAAGGGGGGTCTAAGTACCAAGCATCTATGTTTTAATACAGAAAAAACATATAAATAATTAAAAAAACAAATTACTCTCCTAACACTTGACCTCTGTTTTCATTGACTCTAATGTTTGGATTAGCCATCATATCTAATAAAGGGTCATCATCTGAACCTTCTCTGCCTAGTCTATGGAATATGATAATCACAGTAATAAAACCTATAAGTCCAATTAATAAAACTAAAAAGAATTTCTTCCTCACAGCTGCTGGATCTTTCTTCTTTCCTTTAACATCCCTTGATCTGGAAGTAAAAAGTAGAATTTTTTGTGTATTTAGAGCATTTATGATTTCTTCATATAGAATCTTTTTATGCCCCCGCCGTAGCAGAGGGGGCATTAAGTTTTACCCTCGTCCGTACGTCCCAAAATTGGTTTCCATTCTCTAACTTGACTTTGCCTCAACCAAATGTTATGAAACTTATACACAATGCTTATTACCACAAAACACCAATCAAGTTTGAATTTTGGTGGCGTCACTTTAACCGTTCTAGAGTAATGCCCTTTATAAATGGAAAAATTGCAAAAATTTTAGTTTCCATTCTCTAACTTAAGTTTGCCTCAACCAAATGTTATGAAACTTATACACAATGCTTATTACCACAAAATACAGATCAAGTTTGAATTTTGTTGGCGTCACTTTACCCGTTCTAGAGTTATGCCCCTTTAAAAATGTTAAAATTGCAAAATATTTAGTTTCCATTCTCTAACTTAAGTTTGCCTCAACCCAAATGTTATGAAACTTATACAAAATGCTTATGAACACAAAATACCGATCAAGTTTGAATTTTGTTGGGGTCACTTAAACCATTCTCGAGTTATGCCCCTTTATGAATGGAAAAAAAATGCAAAATTTTTAGTTTCCTTTCTCTAACTTAAGTTGCCTCAACCAAATGTTATGAAACTTAAACACAATGCTTATTACCACAAAACACAGATCAAGTTGAATTTTAGTGGCATCACTTTAATCATTATCGAGTTATGCCCCTTTATAAATCGAAAAATTGCAAAATTTTTAGTTTCCATTCTGTAACTTAAGTTTGCCCCAACCAAACATTATGAAACCTATACATAATACACTTTTCTTGAGTTATATCCCTTTATAATGTTGTATGCAAGCGGGGGCATCATCTGTGTCCATGGGGACACATTCTCCATTTATTTTTCTCAAAACTAATGTGAGATCATTTCTGTACATATTTTCAGAAATTTAACACTAGCTACTTTAAAATGCCTACAATTTGTTTCTTGTTTTGTAAATATTTATACATGTACAGAAACATTTATTTTCACTAGAATTTTTATTGTTTTAAGCAAGTTGGAACTGTAAAAAAATAATATTACAAATTTGTATATTGACTAGCAAAAAAGTAGAATAATAATCATGAAGCAACTGCCCAAAATTCCACTTTTGCTACTTACTTCAGCCAATTCTTTAACCATTCCATGGCTGATCTCCTTCTGTATTTGTTGTCATCATGGTCACTTGATAGATTTAAATAATCATCTTTTGTTGTGTCAAAGACTTTTCTTGGATCTGAAAAAAATATCAATTAATATCATGCATTACTGCATTCAGCCTTCCCATTTTTTTCTTTTATACATGTCGCAGGAAAAATGGGACACCAAATCTATCGCCAAACTGGGTGAAGATATAGTCACAAAACCACAGACTAAAGGCGTGGTTTTAATTGTGGGCCATTTTCTGCATAAAATGAGTCGTCCAAATAACTATACTTTATTATAAGTATCTGTAAATACAAAATTGTAAACCAAGTTTACAATGTGTTCCAATAAATATGAACAATATACATAACTGAAATATTCACATGCAAAGGAGCTATATTCTGTCTTTTACTAATATACCAAAATGCGGCCTTCAAGCCAAACTGAATTCTATATTTGAAATTCTAAAATATCTTTGCATTAATTGAAACATTTGAAACATTTAAACATGACTAAAAGAATAAATAAATTTACAAGTACATGTAGCGGCAACTCTCATCATCCGCCCTTCCTGATATATATTGACCAGTGACTAACTCAAAAAGTGCTTATTAGTATATATATATCGTTAGTATTGTCACGCTTCATGCATAGCTCATGCAATTTGAATATTAATATATATCATTTGAATATTAATAAAGTATCGCCTTCACTTTCTATAGTACTAATTTAAATACTTGTGCCGTGATTTAAATATTCAGTACGCATGGCCAAACATAGCGTACAAAGCTATAGTCTGTTTCTAAATATGCAGCGCAAAACTATTTGTTGTCAATCATCAAGTGGAATATGAATATGATATGAATGTGAAACATATAACACTGAAAACACAAATAACATAAAATGTTAAATAAATGGAGCAAAATATATTGGTTGCATATATCTGTTGACATGCATATAAAAAAAGACAAAAAAAAAGACAAAAAGAAAAAAAAGCACAGCCAAAATATGATCACTATGTTTATTTTTTAGTAATATCAGTCCATCAAAATATCATTAGATGGCAAGCTGATCTGTATATTGTATTGTATTCTGGTAGATAAATAAGGCTAGACAGTGATCCATGAATTTCTCTAAAGGATAATAAGCCTATCTCTAGTTCATGTAATGAGGGACTGCAAAATAGTGTACCAAATATTTATCAACACTGTGATGTGGTGTTACTATTAATAAACATGACTGACTATGAAAACAGCAAACTTTTTTTCTTTGTGCAAATGGCAAAATTGTAATTCAAACACCTACTGTGGGTAATAGGCTGAAGTAATTTGCACCAGAAAAAATGTTAAACAGCAACAAAATTGTCTCTTCACATTAAATTGTGTGATATATTACTGAACATAAATCAAATGTAATACCATACGTACCTACAACACCATAAGCTTTATCAGAGCCTCTAACTGATGTACCAGTATCTACACTTATAACACTATGGTGTGTGTTTGAACTGACTGTTGGTGCTACATGTGCACTGGGACGTGTATGATTAGGTGTTGTTTTGGGACTTGAGGATGTGGTTTGTGCATATTCTTTTTTGACTGGAGTATCTTGTGTGGTCTTGGTCTCTTCAAACTTTGAAGGTGGTTGCACTGGAGCCTCTGTTTCTTCTATCTATAATATTCAAATGGACAAAAATGAACCAACTGTATTTTTCAATGTTTGTCATTTTCCTTTCAAAGCATTTACTAAATTAAAACACTATGGGAAAGTGCTGAGACATATAACACAGATTTTTTTAACATTTTCCATTTATCTTTGCTTAACAATAAGTACAAGCCAGTTGCCCAATATTTGTTGAAACCTGCAGTATGGGTTAAAGAACCAACAAGAATGTGTCCATAGTACATGGATGCCCCAATCGCACTATCATTTTCTATGTTCAGTGGACCGTGAAATTGGGGTCAAAACTTTAATTTGGCATTAAAATTAGTAAGATCATATCATAGGGAACATGTGTACTAAGTTTCAAGTTGATTGGACTTCAACTTCATCAAAAACTACCTTGACCAAAATCTTTAACCTGAAGCTGGACAGATGGACGAATGGACAGACAAACGGACGCACAGACCGAAAACATAATGCCCCTAGGTGGGGCATAAAAACAAAAGGTTTTACTAAGCCATAGGCATAGTGTCTGCAGGAAAGACTAAGCTAAATTGTTTGACTTTTAACATTGCTGCAACAAGATTTAACTAAGATTTAACTAAATAGTTCTAAGTATTTGATGACTGAACTTGAAAATATTCTTAACTGCAGAAATAACCTCTGGAAAGAAGCAACCATATCCTCTTATATCAAGAATATGATCCTTTTTTTTTTAAATTTACATGACTTCATGTCGCCCATTTACTGTCCAAAAACTATACTTTGATCAAATAACTGTCCTATAAAGCTATAAAGCTGTTATGTGTTCTTTTTGTAACATCTTTTTTAATCGCCTTTCTAGAGCTTGAAGAATTGTGTCTGCTTATGGTCATTGCTAGAGGCTATGATCCTTGATGGGTGACTGTAATTGCCTTCTAGACAGTAACCCATCAAGGATCATAGCCTCTAGCAATATATTACTCTTTATCATAATATAAGACAAAAAAAGAGGTCCTCTTTCTTCTTATATTATGGTAAAGAAAAATATATACCTACCAAAGGTAACCCCAATCCAGCTCTAGCCCAATTAACTTTAGACAGGTACTCTTTCAGGTGTTCAGCTACAGGTGATACCACATTCTGTGCAGGAAATATTCCTGCTTTACAACACGGGCAAGTGTAACCAGCTGGTGCTGTGTTGGAAGGCAACTGTTGGGCATATTTGTTTAAACAAAACCAGTGAAAAACATCTGTAATGATATTGATAACAAAATTAAGAAATTGTAGGTCTTCCTTTAAGAATTTCCTAATACATTTAATGATTTTTTTATTGAAATAAATTAAAATGTATGTAGAAAAATAACATTGAAGTGTTAAGACTTTGGTTAAAGAATGTATGAAGAAATTTTCAAATACAATATATAACTATATATATCTAAATATAGTAATGATTACAGGGTAAAAACTATATGTAATTGATTAAATTACAATTACATTTGTAAATGTAATATAAAAATTTGTAAGATTACAGATCACTTTCAATTAAATGAAAATATGTAATCAATTACAGCTCCCCGTAATTATGATTACAGATAACATTAACCCCAAATAAAGTGCCGAACTTCATGCCATGTTGGAAGAATTTGTGAAAGTTTGATGGAATTCTGTAAAACCTTAGCTTTTTCAAAGAGTTTTGCGATTAACAAACTAATATAAGCAGAAAAGGCTTAATCCATGTTTTGGTACAGAACTTAATAAAAATAGTTCCAGAGAAGAATAAAATGCTTCGCTGGGCGCAGCTTGATACGACCGCAGAGGTCGAACCCTGAACAGTTGGGGCAAGTATGGACACAACATTCAAGCTTGATACAGCTCTGAATTTGGATTGTGATTAAATATTTGACACAGCATAGGTTTCTGACACAGAAAGAATGTGGTCTAAGAACTTCAATTTTTTTAATTTACCTATTATGGTCCAATGTCCAAAATCAAAATACATGGTTAGATTCAGCATATCAAAGAACCCCATATATTCAATTTTTGTTGAAATCAAACAAAGTTTAATTTTGGACCCCAACTTGGACAAACTTGAAAACTGGTCCCATAATCAAAAATCTAAACACATGTTTAGATTCAGCATATCAAAGAACCCCAAAAATTCAATTTTTGTTAAAATCAAACTAAGTTTAATTTTGGACCCTTTGGACCTTCATGTAGACAAATTTAAAAAACAGGACCCTAAATTAATATCTAAAAACACAGTTAGATTTGGCATATCAAAGAACCCCAATAATTCAATTTTTGATGAAATCAAACAAAGTTTAATTTTGGACCCTTTTGACCTCAATATGAACCAATTTGATAGCAGGCCCACAAATAAAAAAATCTAAATACATGGTAAGATTTAGCATATCAAAGAACCCCATATATTCAATTTTTGTTGAAATCAAACAAAGTTTAATTTTGGACCCCAATTTGGACCATCTTGAAAACTAGGCCAAAAATCTAAAATCTAAATACATGTTTAGATTCAGCATATCAAAGAACCCCATATATTCAATTTTTGTTCAAATCAAACAAAGTTTAATTTTGGACCCCAACTTGGACCAACTTGAAAACTGGTCCCATAATCAAAAATCTAAACACATGTTTAGATTCAGCATATCAAAGAACCCCAAAAATTCAATTTTTGTCAAAATCAAACTAAGTTTAATTTTGGACCCTTTGGACCTTAATGTAGACCAATTTAAAAAACAGGACCCAAAATTAAAAATCTAAATACACGGTTAGATTTGGCATATCAAAGAACCCCAATAATTCAATTTTTGATGAAATCAAACAAAGTTTAATTTTGGACCCTTTTGACCTCAATATGAACCAATTTGATAGCGGGCCCACAAATAAAAAATCTAAATACATGGTAAGATTCAGCATATCAAAGAACCCCATATATTCAATTTTTGTTGAAATCAAACAAAGTTTAATTTTGGACCCCAATTTGGACCAACTTGAAAACTGGGCCAAAAATCTAAAATCTAAATACATGTTTAGATTCAGCATATCAAAGAACCCCATATATTCAATTTTTGTTGAAATCAAACAAAGTTTAATTTTGGACCCCAATTTGGACCAACTTGAAAACTGGGCCAAAAATCTAAAATCTAAATACATGTTTAGATTCAGCATATCAAAGAACCCCATATATTCAATTTTTGTTGAAATCAAACAAAGTTTAATTTTGGACCCCAACTTGGACCAACTTGAAAACTGGGCCCATAATCAAAAATCTAAACACATGTTTAGATTCAGCATATCAAAGAACCCTAAGAATTCAATTTTTGTTAAAATCAAACTAAGTTTAATTTTGGACCCTTTGGACCTTAATGTAGACAAATTTAAAAAACGGGACCCAAAATTAAAAATCTAAATACACGGTTAGATTCGGCATATCAAAGAACCCCAATAATTCAATTTTTGATGAAATCAAACAAAGTTTAATTTTGGACCCTTTGGACCTCAATGTGGACCAATTTAAAAACAGGGCCCAAAATCCAAAAACTTAATACACGGTTAGATTCAGCATATTAAAGAACCCCAAGAACTCAAGAATAAAACCCCATTGAAATTGATCAAGAAATAAGCAATTTATACGAAGTATCTTCTTTTGCACAATACTGTGCAATTGAATATTTCTTGCTATTGCGCAATACTGTACAATTGACAATTTCTTGCTATTGCGCAATATTGTGCTATTTGATATTTCTTGCTATTGCGCAATACTGTTAAATTGAAGATTTCTTGCTATTGCGCAATACTGTGCAATTGAAGATTTCTTGCTATTGTGCAATACTGTGCAATTGAAAATTTCTTGCTATTGCACAATACTTATTATATAATAATTTACACATCCTGTTTGGTGTGTATCTCCTACCATATCATTATTATTTGCTTTTAAATATAAATCAGAAATAACCAACTTAAAATGGAAAATTTTAAAAGAAAAAAAAAAGGAAAAAAAGAAAAAAAAAAAAAAAAAAAAATCCCCCCCCCAAATTTTTTGAACCCCCTTATGATTCATCACCCCCAAACTCAATCCCAGCCTTCCCTTTGTGGTATGGTACCTTGCAGTACAATTTCAGAGAGATCCATATACTTGAACACAAGTTATTGTCTGGAAACTAGAAAAATGCTTATTTTTGGCCCCTTTTTGGCCCCCAATTCCTAAACGTTTCGGGCAATTACCCCCAAACTCAATTCCAGCTTTCCCTTTGTGATATGGAACCTTGTAGTACAATTTCAGAAATATCCAAACACTTACACACAAGTTATTGTCATGAAACTAGAAAAATGCTTGTTTTTTGCCCCTTTTTTGGCCCCTAATTCCTAAAATTTTGAGGCAATTACCCCCAAAATTAATTAAAGCCTTCCCTTTGTGATATGGAACCTTGTGGTACAATGTCAGAGAGATCCATACACTTACACACAAGTTATTGTCTGAAAGTTACAAAAATGCTTATTTTTGGCCCCTTTTTGGCCCCTAATTCCTTAACTGTTGGTACCATAACCCCCAAAATCAATCCCAACCTTCCTTTTGTGGTATTGAACCTTATGGTGAAATTTCATGGAGATCCATTCACTTAAACTAAAGTTAGAGTGCGAAAACCAATGTGTCTTCGGACGACGCCGGACGACGCCGGACGACGCCAACGTCATACCAATATACGACCAAAAAATTTTTAATTTTTGCGGTCGTATAAAAATTGTCAAAATTTACCAGTTTAAAAAAATTGCATCTCACAGCCATGCTGTCAGCCACATATAACTAAATGAAATGAGGAGTTTTTTTATCAAAGAACTTCCAAACATTCCTGATATGTTCACCTGAATCTGGTCTTTTCGTTTTAAAGAAGTTGAAAACATAAAACAATACTTAATTGATGGTGCCTAATTTTCAGTGGCAATTATTTGTGAAATTGAAAGCTAGTTCATTTAAAATTAGTATGTCAAGATTTCTAATTGTGAGTAGACTAAAACCAGTAGCAGATTACTTTAACTTCTAGGAAGGAAAAAGGTATGGGGTATTGTTATGTTTGTGAAAAGTATGAAATGTTGCCTCAATTCATTCATGTCAGATATATGATAGCAAGGACTTAATTGAAAGTTAAAAAAATGTCCACATACATACCATAACATGTCAGTCGTACACATTCTCCACAATTTTCATCAGACAGATTCTTATCACACAGAACACATAAAGGAGTGTAGTCACTGTCTTGTAACCATTGTAGATATGACTTAATTATACACTGAAATAAATATGTACATTGTATATAAATTATTCTTAAGACATGTATGCTGATTGGTATTGTAGTCAATATAAGCATAAAAGTGAGAACTTTACAATATTGAATTTGTAATATGATAATTTGTTATTCAACTCCTAGAACATGTTCATCAGTTTGAATATTACATGTTCTGTCACCATGGTCATACATGTAGACTGCACAGAAATGTCCATTGCATAATTAGGCTAATTATAATAAATTAAAGAGTTTCATATATGGTTGACTTAAGTTTGATGGTCTGCAAATCGTAAAGAATATAGTTGGTATTATATCCAGGCCTATCAATGATTCTGTATTCATGTTTCATGCATTTCATTGCAAAAAGATATTTTACACTTGTTTGAAAATGATTTTTTAAGCTTGCAAAATTGATAAAATCCCCACTTCACTGTTTGGATTGCATTTGATGATAAAATTCCATATGTTCTAATATATACAATGTACATGTACAAGAAAATGAATTTTTAACACTTAATGTGTGAGTTGCCAGTACTGCATTATAAATTCCAATAGGAACTTTATAGGAAATTACATGTATTCTCTGTAGATATGATAAAGTAACCCTTCACCCAAACACCCACTAATACACAATTCAGGATATGATTCAGCCCAATTACAGACATTGAAAAACTGAATTTAAACAACCAAAAAGGTTGAATAAGGTGTCTTTCCATAAAACTAAGTTACTGTTCGTGACAATAAACACAAAATTAATAAATATCTTGCACATTCATGTCTAGGGAAATTTAATTCGGATATAAATCATATCTGAATTTTAAGTTAAACTCTTTTCTCTTCTAATATCAATCTTGAACTTCTATCAAATAAATTGTTGGTTTACAGAAAAAAACTAAAGTTCCTGTATTCTTTATCTCCCGAAGGCAGCTGATTTGGTAGAACAATTGATTTAGTTCTGTATACTAATGTACATGTAATGTTATAAAGATATTTCCCAATTTATAGATTCTGATTAAATGACCTGATACAAAATAGACACATCCGTCTATTAAGCAATAAATATAATAACAGTCTTTGCACTCAACCACAGCCCCACCAACCCGGGCTTGTAAAAATGCTGTCAGGTCTGTTAAAATCATCTCTACAGGCCAATAGAATCTAACTAAAATTTTCATAAAATTCAGCTTCAGGCCTGTAGATTCAAATGTTTATCCTGAAGACTGTAATAATTACAAATATGATATCTTTATTTCATCAAATAAGTAATTTCTACTCAAGTAACATGAGTAACAGGCTGATATCCAATTGAAATTAAACAAAAGAAATGGAACTCTGTATTAGAGAAGGTAAACAAAATGTCTATTTAAAAACTTAAACGATGATTAAAGTATGAAAAAAAATTAAAAAATAAAACAAACTTAGCCTGAACTTTTTTTTTTGGTATAAATTAAATTTGTATAATAAATTGATAAAGATAAGGAAAACTTTGGATTCAGATTAAACTAATTATTTTGATAATTTTTTTGCTAACTCTATATACATGATATACTTGTACAATGTTGTACATGTATATGAAATATAACATTTAATCATGTAACTTGTACATGTTGTATAAAAATTCTAAACTCTTTTTTCCTACTTTGTCTGAGTACACATAATAGACAGACTGAGTTGATTTCATAGAGGGTCCAAGTTCACTTTATAAAGAGTCAGAGTTGACTCTGTCCGAGTTGTCCCATATTCCAAAAAATAAAAGAAGAATGTGTCTTGAGGACACGAATGCCCCTGCTCAAGCTTTGCAATTATCCAAGTTAAGAAGGGACATACCTCTAGAATGGTAAATGACTCACTGCCTAAATTCGAACTCTGTCTGGTTGTTGTGTTTATTAGCATTGTGCATGATTTTCATAAAATTTGGATGAGGCAAACTTAAGTTAGAGTGCGGAAACGAAAATGGGAAAGACAGAAAAACAGATGGATGGAAGGTCAAAGGAGAAACCTAATGCCCCTTCGCCTACTGCAAGTTAACAAAAAGGTGCCATCTCTAATTGAGGTAGCTGTAAAATATTTACCAGAAAAGAGTTAATAGGGCTTGAAAAGGGATTCTAAGGGCGGCCAAATAAAATAAAAGAAGAATATGTCTGAGGACATAAATGCCCCCGCTCAAGCTTGCTTATAATAGCTGAAAATACTTTTTGAGAGCATTTGATTTCACTGTTAGTTTTTAAAGAGTTCTATTGTTCTAGTCTTAGGTATTTTGTGCTCTGTGTTATTTTCATATTTTCACTGGTTTTTTTTTCAAGTTATAAAGGGGCATAACTCTAGAATGGTAAATGACTCACTGCCCAAGTTTGAACTCTCTGAGTTTTGATTCTTAGCATTGTGTATGAGTTTCATAAAATTTTACATAAGGCAAACTCAAGTTATAGTGCAGAAACGAAAACATTTGCAATTTTCAAAGTTATCAAGGGGCACAACTCTAGAACAGTAAGTGACTCACTGCCCAACTTCAAACTCTGTCTGAGATTGTTTATTCTAAGCATTGTGTAAAAGTTTCATAAAATTTGCATGAGGCAAACTTAAGTTAGAGTGCGGAAAAGAAAATGGCTGTGTTTACACCTCAAAATCTACTTTGTGTACAGACTAACCTTTGCAGTTGGAAAAGTTTTAAGGCCTTGCATCCCCTAGATATATAAAGTTTAAGCGCATTTTGTGTTTCAGAAAGATGAAATCTTTTGGGGAATTTGATGGGCATTTTTTTCCTTCTTGCTGTTTGAGTAAAAATAAACAAACACCTGAATTACATTTGATACTGTCCACTCAGTTACACCTTTTAACTCAACTATTATTGTGTAAATATCTATCAGTCAGGGGAATTACTTAAATGAATGATTTCTAAATCACTGATTCAAGTAATTTTTTGTCCAGAAATGTTGGAAGTAAGAGTTGTCTTTCTTTAATTATCACCTATTTAAGTACAAAATGTAGTACAAATAAATCACTAGACTTAGTGATTTAATTTTATTGTAGCTTTGAATATACAATAATAATGATCCAGGGAATAATTATGTTGTTAAAATTATCAGAACCAACATCTGTGTTTATAGGATGACCAGTCATGTCAGGTGATGACCTTGTACTGAATCTGGGATGATGACATGAAAATCACTTGTTTAAGTACTAGTATCATACCTCTATTTTCTTCAAAAAAATCACTTCTTTAAGTATTATTATTTTAATTACCCCCACTAATTTCTAATTTTTAATGTAAAGCCTTCATTATAGCATTTTTTCAACAAATATAGAATTTACAGCTGAATGATTGCATCAAAGACATTTATAAACCTTGCTACTTAAAAGAAGCAAAAGGTTCATCTTTTTAAATTTTACTAATAATAAGATATACCGGTAATCTAAACCTGTATGTGTAAAATTTTGGTAAAACTACAAAATCACAGAATTTCTAATTTGCTACTTAAATAAGTGATTTTATAAATCACTTATTTCAGTAATTCCCCTGACTGTCTATTGTCCATGTCAATCAAGGACAATCAATACAATACAATACAGTTGTTACCTGAGAGGGAGCATCTCAAAGATTTAACCCAACTTAGTTGATTTTTACATCTTCTGCAGGAACAGAAAAAAATGCCCATTATATATAAAAAAATATTTTATCCTTCTTAAACACAAAATGCATTTAACTTTTATATATCTAGTGGATGCCAGACCATAAACTTTTCCAGTAGCACATGTTAGTCTATACTCAGAGTAGTTTTTGAGGGGTACAAGTTAAATCGGCACCTGCTCAATTCAGCACTTATAGAAAAAGTAAAATCGGCATCTAGTCAAATCTGCACTTATTCAAATCGGCACTGATTTAAAGTCATTTCGGCATTTCGGCAATTTGGTACCAAATATTATTTTTACCTTTTTCTTTCCTTTTTATCACTTAAAAAAACTTATGAACTTACCTTAATTAAAAACAATAAACCAGTTTTCTGTCTTAACCACTTTAAGGTAGTTTTTGATGTTTAAAAACATTGGTTCGCCGAGCGCAGCTGGATACGACCGCAGAGGTCCAACCCTGAACAGTTGGGGCAAAAATGGACACAATATTCGCACTTGATACAGGTCTGAATTTGGATTGTAATTAAATATTTGACACATAATAGGTTTCTGACACAGAATAACTGTAGTCAAAGAACTTGAATTGGTTATGTGATTTGAATTTATATTCATTTTTTTGCTTTTGTGCAATACACTATGCTGTTGCGAATTGACCCCCCTCCCCCCAATAAATTTTTTTTTTACCCCCCCCACCCCCCCCCCCCCCCCCATCCCCCCTTTTTTTGGCAAAAAAATAATATAATAAAATATTTGAAGAAATTTTCTTTTAAATTTGTGAAATCTTGAGAACAAATTGTCCCCACCCCCCTTCCAAATTTGTTTAACCTCCCCCCCCCCCTTTTCTAAAAAAAAATTCTTTCCCTCAAGATATGGTCATAATCTCAATTCAAATTTCCAATGGAGTTTGCAACCATAGTAACCCATTTAAATACATCATAAAAGTCTTAAAATAGAAAATGACATACATAATCATGGCTAAAATTAAATTACCATTTATCAGCATTTTTAAAATAGTAACTTCTAAAAATAAATTGACAGCTAATCACCTCAAGACAATACAACATTTTTTTATACATAATTTAAAAGCAGTGTAAGGGAGGTAATTCAAAATGTTGTGTTTGAATTCCCTCCCTTACACTGCTTTTAAATTATGTTTTGTACTTAATTGTCCATTAACCAGGACACCCTTGTTTTTCCCCCTTTTTTGCCCCTAATCCTAAACGGTTTAAGCCATAACCCCCCAAAGCCAATTCTTACCATCCCTTTGTGGTATGGAAACTTATGGTATAATTTCAGAGAGATCCATACACCATTCCACAAGTTATTGTCTGGAAACTAGAAAAATGCTTATTTGGGCCCCTTTTTGGCCCCTAATTCCTAAACTGCTGGGACCATAACCCCCTAAATCAATCCCAACCTTCCTTTTGTGGTCATAAACCTTGTGTTTAAATTTCATAGACTTCTATTTACTTATACTAAAGTTATTGTACCAAAACCAAATGTCTTCCGACAACACGGACGACGACGTTGACGTGATACCAATATACAACCGCAAAAAATTTTGCGGACATATAAAAATCTGTTGTTTAACCCATGCACAGATGACTATAAAAACAAATTTAATCATCGTTATTTAAGTTGTTTTTTTTCTACAATACATGTCTATATATATAAAATGAATAATGTTGGCATGAATTTTGTATGTTTACTAGCAATGTGCAGTAGTCATAGAAGCTCCTTTATATAAGTTCCGATAGGAACAAATATTATGGCAAGTAGTTCTTCATAACAATATTTCCATTGGAACTTTTGTTATGTGTCACAGTGTGACAAATATACATTATATCAACACCTCTATCTAGTGAAAATATTTTTAAAAAAAATATGGGGAAAACAGAGTTTTCAATAGTTTAATTGCAAAACATAATGGTAATCATTGGTGCCGAAATAACAACTTTGGGTGCTGAAATTAATCAGTTCCCTATTTGACTAGGTGCTGAATTGACTATTCCTGGTACCAATTTGACCACGTGCCGAAGCAACTAGAATTCTTGTTAATACAGCCATTTTTGTCAATTTGTTATGATGAACATTAATGCCCCGGCCGCCGTATCACTTGGGACACAGAATCTCAAAAGTGATAAATGGTGACCCTCATAATAAACTACACATTTCATCTCATATAGACCAAGCCTTCATTACGAGAACTCAAAGTCTCCTTATTCACCAAATAAAGTGAAAGAGATCTGCCTGAAGGAATGATATTTATTTGTGAACAAAAATTATCATTTTATGTTTACAAATTTACCTTTTGGTGATTTGCGACTAAACAGTTTTCACAGACATTTACTCTGTGTTCGAAGCAAAACAAGTTAGTTACTTTCTTCTTCGGGCATTTACAAAGCCCCATGTCAAATAAATATGTTTTCTTAACTTAATTTATCAGATTATTCTTCTAACTTGTCTGAAATGTTTGCCGGAAGCTAAACCGACGTGGATCTGTTCGTGTTCTCTTTTGACTTGTCTTTGATTGTATCCTAAAATCTAGAAAGAATCGATGAATTCGGATATACAATAACATTAAAAACAATTACGGACCACGTGTTTTTTGTAAACAGAGTGCACCTGTTAAAAGTAGTAGATGAACAAGATCTGTTAGACAGTAAATTCTTGCCTTATAATCTAAATGGTACAAACAATTGTATTAAGTTATATCTTCAATAGTCATTAATGCAAGAAGATATAGTACCATGCCCATCAAAATTAAAAAAAGGACCATACTCATGATACTAACAGTTTCTAAAAAAAAAAAAACATTTATAACTTTGACAATCACAGACACAGAGCATCAAGCTAGTTTAAGCAAAACATGAAAAAAAGAATGAATTAGATGGTTAATTTTAAGGCAGTGGTTATTTTGCCGGCTCCGGTAATGGGTCCGTTCGCGCCCAATACACGTTCGCACCCTACACTTTCGCACCCCACACTTTCGCACCCTTTTTTTTATTCAAAAACCTGATGAATTGTTAGATGTTTTTCATAAATAAAATTTCGGGATTTTTTTTTACATTGATTTGATGATTAATTATTATATGTTAATTATGTATGATTACTAGATTACTGTTAATATAGTGTTTATGCAGCTAAACTTGGTGTTATTGTTATGTGTTTGAAAATCGTAATTGTTGTTTTAACTAGCTTTGATGTGAATTCTACATGTAGTTAGCATGTATTTAGCTTGGTATGAGTAAAATGTTATTGTTGTTGAGTTTAATAGCGGTTTGGTATCTTAACATTAAAATAATATTCAACACAAAAAACCTTTTTAGAAAGTCACTTTATTTTGAAACAATGAAAAAAAAATGTACATATCAATACACTAACCAAAACACGATTAAAAAAATATTCAACACAAAAAACGTCACTTTATTTTGAAACAATGAAAAAAACTTATTTATAGCAATACAATATCCAAAGCATGATTAAAAAATTATTTTAAAAACACAAAAATCGATTTTAGAAAGTCACTTCATTTTGAAACAACGAACAAAAAAATATTTATAGCAATACACTTACCAAAAAACGATTGAAAAATTACGTGAATGGGAATGAACGTGTTTTTGGGCGAACAGCCCCGGATTCGCCAGCTCCGGCATCATAGCCTCTTATGATTGTAGTGTAGGTGCTATTTTACCGGCACCAGCAAAATAGTGAATCATATAGAGTTTTGCTATTTTGCCAGTCTTATAGATAAGAAGATGTGGTATGAGTGCCAATGAGACAACTCTCCATCCAAGTCACAATGTGTAAAAAGTAAACAATTATAGGTCAAAGTACGGCCTTCAACTCAGAGCCTTGGCTCACACCGAACAGCAAGCTATAAAGGGCCCCAAAATGACTAGTGTAAAACAATTCAAACAGGAAAACCAACGGCCTAATCTATATAAAAAACGAGAAACACTTATGAACAACATCAACAAACGACAACCACTGAACAACAGGCTCCTGACTTAGGACAGGTTCATACAAATGCAGAGGGTTTAAACGTTTTAACAGTAGTGTAACATTACAACATAAAAAGACACACTATAAATTATCAATTGAAATGGCTTAGCTCGATCAAAAAGTCATATAAACAAAAACAGGTAAACATACACTGAACAAATAAGTTTGATCTATGACACAATATAAATACAATATTAATAAAAAAGTTGTAGAACAATGTCAAAAAGACAACTCTTATCGGGGACAAAATGGCATTAAATAAAATAACATACACAGGTAAATTTAAATATAATAATTTTGTAGTTAGGAGTACGGAAAATTTTTTTCAAAATAAATAAATTTGTTGTTCACAGTACCAGTACAGAAGTGAAAATTTATTGTCATACTAAATACTTATCAAAGGTGGTACATATTAAAAATAGTGAGAAGAGATATAACACCAAAAAAGTAAACATTGAATAACAAAAATGCATTACAAAATGACAAATTGTGCCAACAGGTCAAATTAACACAAAAGTAAGATTTGACAGTACTCACAGTTACTGAAAGCTAGTTAAAAGCCAAAAAAAACAATTAATGATAAAAAATCATGCATCAGAGACTAAAATTAATTAAAACACATCCCAGGAATTTAGTGTTTTAACGCCATGGACAGTCAAAGAAGACATAACTTGTGCAATGCCAAAATAAAAGTATCGACAGGCAGTAGGATAGTTAGGATTTAACCTTATAATAAAAATGTATCATGTTATATATAGATAAAGCAATTTCTAAATAGAAAATAAATGTGGATGTGTATTTATACATCCAAAAAAAAACATTCGAAAGAATACAAATTTAGTTATGTTTTACAATGTTGATGACAAAATTGATGTCAGTTCAGATTTTTCAGTATATTGATTATGAATTGAAAGAAATGTCAATAAATGTAGAACAAAAACTAAAAAAAATATGTTTTTTAAATAAGTGACAAAAAAAAGTGTGTAGTGTGTGTTGTTGGGTGTCTCAGTATCAGGTCATGTCAAATAATTTAACTGTACACAGATGCCAATGATTCACTTTACAGGATTACCCTAATTCAACTGGTAGCGTGATATAGGGAATCCTGGTAACATAAATAAAATGGATCCCGATGTAGTCTGAACAAATCCTTGTCAGTGAAAATAGACTAAAGTCGATTAAAAGTTCAATACTGTATTATCAAAACACATTACTCATGTTACTATAACTAGGTAACAAGTATAAATTTGTACAAAATCTAAACTGCAGGCTCAACAATACGTTTCTCCTCTCTTACTATAAACGTAACTGTCCTCTCCTCACTGTAAATTCTCTCTCTCCCTTATCTTAAGCTCTTTCTCTCTTTTACATCACTCCTATTTGCCGTAAAAGCCTAGATACAAACATGGAATACTAGGTCAAGTGGGCTCCATTACATAAAATTACTAGGGCACCATATGCAAATCATTAGGGCTCACTAGTCAAACAAAGAAATTTAAATATAACTCTTAATTAATATTTCTGATGATTTCTAACTGTATTAATTGATTATTAATGAAAATAAGTAAAACTGATACAATTACATAAAACACTTGACCTTACACATAAAAATGTTACAAAAAGTTTATACATGAGCAAAGCATGCATATGAACTTTGACATTCTAATAAAAAATATCCTGTAAGTTTTGAAATTAAAAGTTTCTTTACATACAAAAAAAAAAATTTGACTTTTTTTAAAATATAATACATAAGCAAAGCATGCATATAAAAATTGATATTCTAATTAAAAATTATGATAAAAATATCCTACAAGTTTTGAAATTGAAAGTAAAATTTAACAACTTCAAAATGCTTTACAAGTGTTACAAAACCAGTGCCTTGCTTTTGGTGCATTTTTTGAGTCTTGCACAAGAAAGATGCTAGCACTGCACACATGAACTGCACATAACTGTAAACACTTTTTGAATAGGGGTTTTAGAATAGTTTGTTTATGATTTGTTTTTTAACGAGATTTAAAGTGCTGAAGTGACTACAGTACTTAATTGCTATGTCAACAGTCACGCTTTTCAGTGAGAAATCTTATTTTGAGTGAGCAGGCATTAACCTGAGACATTAAAAAAATCTATTTTGTACATACATGATAACTTGCTTAAAAACATAACTTAAATGGTACGGGAAAATGTTGTAAAAACATTGGATTTTTTTTATCTTTGAAACCTAAGCTATTCATATGAGTTGGATATCAAGAGTTAACTCCATAACACCACCACGTTGACCAGAGATTGTTCTTTTTTAGTACATGTAACAAATATTATCACATAAAATGAATTTGAGTTGTCTCCCTTTAAACATTTTGAAGAAAATGAATAGCAATGCCTTAATTTATAATTATTGATAAGTCTTCATGACAAACTAAAATAAGAAAAGAAGATCAAACTAAAATTAGTTTTGAAACTTTCATATGAATTTCACTTAGAAATAATGATAGATAGACTCAGTTGATACAGCCTTGATGTATATCCTTTACTCACAAGTTAAAAAAAAAAGAGTTTAGACAGATTTTCATGAGTCCATGTCTAAGTGAAAACCCTAAATTGATCCTAAATTAATTGTCAGCTAATTATTTATTGGATGAAGGTTAAAACAAATGCAAAACCTAGTAAATTAACAGACATATAATACTGTTTATGCCCTCATGGCATGGGATGTACTTTAGGCCCCAATCACCCACACTTATTCTTACAAAATTCTAAAGGAAATGCAACCATCCAAAATTAATTTAAGTTCCTCCCATGCCCTACCATGGTAAATTTAGAACAGCCCTTATTAAACATGAGATAAATCATTGTAAAATACTAGCAAATAATCTGTCAAAAGAGTAATGCTTTATAAAGTTAAGTAAAGAATCTTTGTGATGAAATACAAAGAAATAACTTGTTCTTAATGAAGTCAAATATAGATAGCAAAGCATTCCATCTGCTAAATTTTACCAAAATGCTAAGTCTTATGAACATTTGACTAAGCATGTTTTAACAACTGAACACAAATACATTTTGAATTCAAAAGATAGTAATTTGAACAATCCTATTTTGTATTTGCAGTGCTACAACATCTGAAGATGATGCCAGTCATGAAAAGGACAGAGTTACCTCCTCCTACTTGTTATTTAAAGACATTATTGATTAAAAAAGTTGAAGGTTTGAACTTTAATTAAATGCATGAAACTGGTTTTTGTCATAATATTTTATTTAAATCACTATAAAGTATTCACTAATTTTCAGATTTAAAGAATGTTTCTGCACAGGTTCATCTCGAAATTATGGTTTATTGTTTCTGGCAACCTCTTGATTTATTCTTAAGTTTTCTAGATTTTGGATGACTTACTGGGATCAAGCTTGACATATAATTTGGGCACTTGTTTAGTTATTGCTGACCTCAGAATGACCTTCAAATGAAAACAAGTGACATTCTAATGATCAGATTAGAAGTGCTTCATGCAAAGTGTGAAGATCGCTTACTTTCATTACAAACATATTTAAAAATAACAGTATTCAAGTCTTATTTACAGAACTTCAAAATGAAATATATGTGTATGTTTGTTTATTCCACATTGGCTAGAGGTTTAGGGGAAGGGTTGAGATCTCACAAAACATGTTTAACCCTGCCACATTTTTGTGCCTGTCCCAATTCAAGAACCTCTGGCCTTTGTTAGTCTTGTATATTTTTTTAATTTTGGTTTATTTATATGTTTTGGAGTTTGGTATGACGTCCATTTTTGCTGAACTAGTATACAATATTGTTTAGGGGCCAGCTGAAGCCCGCCTCTGGTTGTGGGATTTTCTCACTGTTGAAAAACTATTGGTGGCCTTGGGATTTTTTCTGCTCTTTGGTTGGGTTGCTGTCTCTTTGACACATTCCCCATTTCCATTCTCAATTTTATTAACATTTTAAGCTGAAAGTTAGACTTTTAAATACAAAAATTTGGCAAAAAATGTGTAGTGATATGAAAGCAGAATCATCCCACATCCCTGTCATATCTGATTGAAATACAGACGCTATGTCAAGTTTTGCTTTAATAAAAGGATCTGACAATGCTCTGGCCTTCTTTTTGTTTTAAAGACCTTTCAAGATCCTTTTGTTGTAATGATACTTACCAAAAAAGTTATGGCGGCAGAAGTTTCATTGGCTGATGTAATAAGTGGCAAAAAAATAAAGTAGGAGAGTTTTCAGTTCCTTGTAAGTAAAGCATAGACAAAGTATCTTTTTTTTTTTTTTAGTCAGTTTGTGTGAAATCAAAAGTATCATACATGTCTGTAATAAAGATGAAATTTGCTGTCTTAATACATTGATTTCAAAGTAGATATAAATACATTAAATTTCTATGATTATTTAGAACAATAACTGATTTTTTAATGGTTCTATCAATTATTCATGTTTATAACATATAATATCAACTACTTTTTATACGGTCATATATTGGTATGACGTTGTCGTCGTCGTCGTCCGAAGACACATTGGTTTTCGCACAATAACTTTAGTTGAAGTGAATGGATCTCCATGAAATTTTACCATAAGGTTCAATACCACAAAAGGAAGGTTGGGATTGATTTTGGGGGTTATGGTACCAACAGTTAAGGAACTAGGGGCCAAAAAGGGGCCAAAAATAAGCATTTTTATACGCACGTTTACGGGACATATTATGGTATACCGTTGTCCTTCCGTCCGTCTCTCCGTCCGTCCACAACATGTCGGACATTAACTAAAAAACGCTTTAACCAATTTGCATAAAACTTTGGTGAATTGTTTATATCTATTGACATGAGCTCCCTTTTGATTTTTATATATTTTAGTTATTACATTTCCGAGTTACAGGGTTTTATTCATAAAAAAAAGGGGGATTTTCCAGTTTTCAGACAAAAAATCAAAAATGCTTTCAGCAGTTCTTATGAAACTTTGGTGAATTGTTTATTCTATTGATGTAAGCTCCGTTTAGAATTTTATAAATTTTACATTTAACATTTCTGAGTTATGGGGTTTTATTCATTAAAAAACAACAAATGAAAAAGGGGGGATTTTCCAGGTTTTTGACAATAACTCAAAAATGCTGTCAGAAATTCTCATGAAACTTTGGTGAATTATTTATATCTATTGATGTAAGCTCCCTTTACATTTTCATAAATTTTTAATATGACATTGAGAATTAATTGAACTTTAATTGTTTATAGTCTGACAACAGATTTACTAAGTATTGCGCAACAGCACAGTGTATTGCACAACAGCAAGAAATCTTTAATTGAATATAAATTCAATTCATATAACCAATTTCAAGTTCTTTGACTACATTTATTCAGAAACCTATAATATGTTAAATATTTAATACAATCCAAATTCAGACCTGTATCAAGCTTGAATATTGTGTCCATTTTTGTCCCAACTGTTCAGGGTTGGACCTTTGCGGGCGTATCCAGCTGCGCTCAGCTTAGCAGTTTATTGTAACTTCCAGACAATAATGTGTGTGTTAGTGTATGGATCTCTCTGACATTGTACCACAAGGTTCCATATCACAAAGGGAATGCTGGGATTGATTTTAGGGGTAATTGCCTCAAAATTTTAGGAATTGGGTGCCAAAAAACAAGCATTTTTCTAGTTTCATGACAATAACTTGTGTGTAAGTGTATGGATCTTTCTGAAATTGTACTACAAGGTTCCATATTACAAAGGAAAAGCTGGAATTGAGTTTGGGGGTAATTATTGCCCGAAACGTTTAGGAATAAGGGGCCAAAAATAAGCATTTTTCTAGTTTCCAGATAATAACTTGTGTTCAAGTGTATGGATCTCTCTGAAATTGTACTGCAAGGTACCATACCACAAAGGGAAGGCTGGGATTGATTTTGGGGGTAATTGCCTCCAAATTTTAGGAATTAGGGGCCAAAAAGCGGCAAAAAACAAGCATTTTTCTAGTTTCAGGACAATAACTTGTGTGTTAGTGTATGGATCTTTTATGAAATTGTACTACAAGGTTCCATATCACAAAGGGAAAGCTGGGTTTGAGTTTGGGGGTAATTGCCCAATTGAAAAATAAGCATTTTTCTAGTTTCCAGACAATAACCTGTGTTCAAGTGTATGGATCTCTCTGAAATTGTACTGCAAGGTACCATACCACAAAGGGAAGGCTGGGATTGAGTTTGGGGGTGATGAATCTTAAGGGGGTTCAAAAAATTTTGGGGGGGGGATTTTTTTTCCTTTTTTTTTCTTTAAAATTTTCCATTTTAAGTTGGTTATTTCTGATTAATATATAAAAGCAAATAATAATGATATGGTTTGAATAGGAAAAATAAAAAAATTAAGTTCTTAGATTACATTCATTATGTGTCAGAAACCTATCCTGTGTCAAATATTTAATCACAATCCAAATTCAGAGCTGTATCAAGCTTGAATGTTGTGTCCATACTTGCGCCAACTGTTCAGGGTTCGACCTCTGCGGTCGTATCAAGCTGCGCCCAACGGAGCATTTTATTCAAATTGTTAGAATTTTCTATTTTTTATGCATTTAAATTGCATGAACAATATGTAAATATAGAGTTGATTAATTGGGTTGTCAGAGCCAAGGATTCTATTTACTTTTACATAAATTGGAAACATGTGAAAGAATGAGGTGATTTGTCTTTCAACCAATAAAAAACCAGTGTTTGTTTGCTATGAATACTTACTATAAATATTTCACTGTGTATTTCATAGACGGATTTTCTGTTGTGAAGGAGATGTTGTCAGACAGTTTGACCATTTTAGAGAAACAGGAATCTCTATCAATGGAGAGTTATGTTTTGTCTAGAATGTTATATAAAATGAACAGTCAGTGGAGAAGTGAAAAATCTTTACAGGGTTTGAAAAGAGTAAGTTATTTATATTTTTGTTTTTGTATTTACTGTTTTATTGATGTGTACCCGACATAGGCTTTTATTACAACATATACATAAATAATCTTCCTCTCTGTTGTTGAGAATTTAATGTACCTCCTCTTAATTAAAAATACCAACCTCCTAATACAGTTTGGAACAATATTGTAGCATTTCTACAGTCATGACAGTTATGTATATAGATATAAGAAGATGTGGTATGAGTGCCAATGAGACAACTCTCCATCCAAGTCAAAATTTATAAAAGTAAACCATTATAGGTCAAAGTACGGTCTTCAACACGGAGCCTTGGCTCACACCGAACAGCAAGCTATAAAGTGCCCCAAAAATTACTAGTGTAAAACCATTCAAACAGGAAAACCAACGGTCTAATCTATATAAAAAACGAGAAATGAGAAAAACTTATGAACCACATCAACAAACGACAACTACTGAACATCAGATTCCAGACTTAGGACAGGTGCAAACAATTGCAGCGGGTTTAAACGTTTTAATGGTACCAAACCTTCATCCTTATCTGAAACAATAGTGTAACATCACAACATAGAAAGACACACTATAAAATATCAATTGAAATGACTTAACTCAATCAAAAGACATATTAACAACATGTATGAAACTGTTTCAGAATCTAGTTTCATTCTAGGTAATATTTTCAAAGGTACATGTATACACCAAAACATTTGGATTGGTTAAAAAATGTCATGAACAGTGGAAATTCAATCAATAATGTAATATTTTTTTTACAGCTTGGGGTACCAACAATTAAATTACCAATAGTCCTTTAGATTCTGAAAAGACAAATTACATACATATTATAAAGGACACTGGGAGGAAAAAGCTATGATGTAGCAATCTGTTGTTTCATTGTTTTTTAGCGATAACATATAAATGATTAAGGGGCCTTGGTGGTTGAGTGGTCTAAGTAGTCTAACTACAGTATTACCATCCTGTCAACACTGAGGTTGGAGTTCGAATCTCACACAAGGCAGCTCCAATCTTAATTTGCTAGGATTGTCAGGTTTCCTACCGAAGGTCAGTGGTTCTCTCTGGGCACTCCGGCTGCCTCCATCACTAAAAACGGACCACCACAAAATAGCACAATAGTGATGAAAATGCATTAAACATCAATCAATCAATATAAACGATTTTAAACCCATACACCAGGAAGACATATCAGTAATACACCAATCTCGAGTTAGTCCTCCATTGACGAAATTAAAACAATTTCCCAATATTTTTCAGCATCACAGAAAATGTTTGACATTACAGAGAAAAAATGATTTTTTGCAAATGTCATTAATTTTAGGTCAAACATTGGAAATTGAGGTCGATCGTAGTAAAATCTAGGAACTTGAGATTAGTGTATGCATATCATATCAAATATTTTCAAAGGCGTAGTACATGTATGTCATTCAGGAAGATTTATTTGTTGTTTACAAGAATGCTTAATCATACCACATCATCTTATTTCTATATTTAATTTTTTTATTTTTATTTTACAGATTAAAACTTGTTTGAACAGATACAAAGACTTGAAGTTAATTGAATATGTTGCAGAACTCAAAGACCATTTTGATGGGTAGGGAAATAGTAAATATAGTGAAACGTGTTTTAACCACTGAAGAATATTTGGTTGAATTTGACAGGTGTTCTGTTCATCTAGGTAAAATATAAAAGATAAATGTACTCAATGTGTTCAGAGAATACTCAGTGCCTTTCCTGACATAGGACTTCAGATGAGACGGGTATCACGATAACTAAAGGTTTGGTTTAAACACACTGTGAAAAAATATCTACCCTTTCAGAAACCAATTATACATTGTATCCAATGCTAAAGTGGTGAGTTCCTAAGCACCATCCCTTGGTGACATCTCAAGTTCTGCATTGTGGGGAAGATTTATTTGTAAACAAGATCCTTGCCACTTTGCACTAGTCATGAGGAGAACTACTGCTGACGATATGTGGCAGTATTAATATTTTTTCCCCTTTATTATTTATTAGTGATGATACACCACTACAGTCCCTATTTTAAGCATCACCCCTTGATGGGCCCTTCACTCTGACAACTGAATCAGCATGCTTGAGTGCTTTGACAATAAGGACTTTAACTTGAATTTATCCAATGTATTATCAACCTTGGCACAGACCAAGTCCAAATTCATCAGCTATTTCTATATTTATACACCACATTTAATATTGCAATAATGTCCTTTATTACCAATATTTTATTTTGTGTTATCAATAAAAATGTTGCAAAAGCCTGGATATTTTTGTGGCTTTTGTAGAAGTACATCATGTATGAGCGTTTCTGACAATGGGCAATCTAGTAACAGTTTACCGCTGTTTTTTTTTTAGGTGTGATTTGTATCTTGGAGAAATATATCTGCCAGCACAACAGATGATAGTTTATCTATTGAGAAAGGTCATATGCTTGGCAAGTCTGATGACACAAATGTGCAATTACTGCAAGTACACATATGTGTATCCTTTTATATTTTGTCAAGATTCAGAAAAAAGTGCAACATGTTTTAGTGACTGAAAACATATAAGTATTGACCAATTATCTTTAAAGAGGTCAGTTCGATGATATTTTAATTTAATAAAGAACATTTATTTGGAGCATGGTTGTAAAATGTGTTTACAATGATCAGTGAAATTTTAAAAAAAAAACTATTGTTGTATTAATGTATTGATAAAGTTGATTTTTTTGTCTAAGTATTACTGTGACTAGACTGTGTTGCTCGCCACCTATTGCAGTTTATTCAAAATTCTGACCAAATTGCAATTAGTTTTATCAAACCAATCTGTTCAACTGGTGAGAAATTTTAACAGTGCTGTAGAAAACACAATCAAGTGGTGAAAGTGCAAAGTGATGAAATTGAGCATACTTACAATCCTTTAAGACTTTAATTCCACTGCAATGATATTATGAAAAGGCAGTCTATCAATTTCTATACACATTTTATTGTAATTATCATGCAAAAGGTGATAGTAATTTTGAATTGCCCTAAAAATGTCCAAACTAAGCTTTAATACAATTTTTCTTTTGAAAAGTCTTCTATATTCATAAGAATCAGACATCATTTGAATTAAAACATCTTATATTCAGTAAAATATATGTGAAATTATAATATTTTGTTAGTACGTTTCCATGGGAGATAATCAATTTTTCTTTTGAAAAGTCTTCTATATTCATAAGAAGAATGATTTTAGATTATCTCCCATGGAAACTTAATAACAATGCAATTCAAAATTACTAATTGTTAGACTAATTTTTCATAATATCATTGAAGTGGAATTGAAGTCTTGTAGGACTGTAAGTATGCTTTATTTTATCACCTTGCACTTTCACCACTTGACTGTTTTCTACAGTAGTTTGTTATAATTTCTGACCAGTTGAACTGTTTGGATTAATAAATCAAATTGCAATTTGGTCAGAATTTTGAAATGACTGCAATAGGTGAAGAGCAACACTTACAGTCAAGTCACAGTAAAACGATAAGCCAAAAGAAGAACATCCGTATATTGATACACAGTTGCAATTTGGCAAAACTTAAGATTTTCATATGATTTTAATAATAATGAGGGAAGTAAGCTCTGAAATTTATAAATTATTACCTGAAAAATTGCCTTTCATTGTGGTTTAGAAGATATTATATTTCTCCTTAATTGTGACCAGATATATTAGTCAGAACTTATCCATTGGAAACTTTATACCACAGAACATGGTTTTCTTGTCAATGGTCAGCAGAATATGGTAAGTTGTTACACTTATGGTAAACTTTAAAGCAACTCTTCCGTCACAGACTATGTGATCACTTAAACGACAAGTAGTTATATCCTGACTTCATTACAGCTCTTTTCATAATGCTAGCAAGACAAAGGTTTGTTTGACTTGCTTGCTTTGTTTGTATAAATGTTTGCTCAAGCATTGTAATTAAGATTGACATCTGTAAACAATATAAGTAGGCGGAGTTAAACCTGTGTATAGGTAAATTTGATTAGTTGATAATGTCCAATCAAATTTAAATATAATGTATACAAGTTTAAATCCGCCTTTTTATGTTGTTTTCAGATGTCAATCTTAATTACAATGCTTGAGCAAACATTGATACAAACAAAGCAAGCAAGCCAAACAAATCTTTGTCTTGCTAGCACTATGAAAAGAGCTGTAAATATTAGAAACTGTAACTATTTAAAAAACAAATTCAGCATACGGTCAACATGTCTGTAGGAGTTATGGCTTGCATGAACTCTTGCTTAAATAGACAGAAGTGAAAATCAAAATGATTGAAACCACTGCACTAGTGAAGACATTTAACAAGTTGTATGCATAATTTCAATTCTTTTTTTCGTCTTTCATAGAAGTATATTTGTGAACAAAAAAAACTTGATGTAATATTCTTGATTACAATGTATTCAAATCAAATATACAATTGATTTATGCAGCTGAAAATCAATATACTGGGGAATAAACGCACATACATTTAATTGCAATGCAATTTTGCTGATTGTTTGAAGCTCAGCACTGAAAATTGTCACCTAGTTATTGATTAATTACAGATGATTATAAAGTAAAATAAATTCATATACATTTTTTAATTTATGCAGATTTGTTTTTGTCTCATTAAAAAAAAAATACTGTAAATTAAGAAATAATTGCATGCATTTATTATTGCGATTTTGTCATTTTAGTCCAAAATGCGATTATAATTTTTGCGATACTGAGAAAAAATCCCACTTCATTCATATAAAAAAAAATCCAAAATGCGAGTTTAAATTATTGCGATTACAACCCTTTTGCATTTTTCACAATAACAAAAACATCGCAATAATTCCAAATTTACAGTACATCTCATTAATCCTTAAATCATTTATTTTGGAGACAGATTAATTCTATGTATCATAGATCAAAAGTAAACCTATAATCTCTATATACATGATGATCCAAACATTTGATATACTATTGGGATCAGTAACTGTGTATTGAGTAGTCTGCTGTGATATAATACAAGCCAAAAGTTAAATTGAGGTTGGCATTGTAAGGAGATTCTCATTAAACTCAGTCTTTGTCTCAAACTGTTTGTTGATCATGCCAGTTTTTAATCAATCATACTGGTATTGTATCAGTACTGTTAATAAATAATTACTAAACTAGCCAGAAACTTGACAAATCTAATGACATACTTACTTGAATAAACTGCACTTAAGAGATAACCATGATTTTTCACAGTTCATTTGTGCATATTTACATATACATGAGAAGCATTGGGAACTACTTTTCTGTATGTGTAGACCAAGTGGATACAATAGATGCAATCTTTCAGAAATTGACTCAGAAAAAATGAAAAGATGCTCAGATATTCTCCTAACATTTGGCACATTCATCTTACAAAAAAATCCTGAATCTACACTCCTGAATTTCTTTTGGGCTGATTTTCACATTTGTATATATAGGGCACTTGGCAAGTCATTAGGTCTTCATTCTGCTAGATGGTATGAAGGAATTAACAGATGCTTGGATGTTTTTCCTCAAACACAGGTATCTATATATATGTTAAGGAAATCACACATTTTACAAATGTTGTAATCATGTTCTTTCTTATAGTTATTATCATAACAGACTTTAAGCCTGATATCGGTTGAAATTGTCCATATACCATTCAAAAAGAAAAGCCCTCAATTTTAGTTATCAACCTATACCAAACCAGTATTAGTTTGTTTCTTATACAGTATACCTTAAGTCTGATACTGATGTTAATAAAATACAAAAACTGCCAAACAGTAATTGATTTACCCAATTTAGAAATAATAATATATTTATTAAACCCAACCATCAAATTTGACATCAACTATTTACTGAAGCAGAAATACTTTTGCATGTACAAAAATGTTACAATTATCAAAAGTTCTTACATTCCATGCAGTTGTCAGATGAAAACTCAAAATTGTTTTGTTTTCTATACAGAATTGCATTTACCTATCTTCTGTGTACGCTTCTAAGCTAGAACACATTTATATCAATATATAAATTCACACAAAATTTACCCTTGCCCTATTTTTGTCTCACCTTGACGGAGTCAAAAAGCGAGAGACAGGTATGCTGTTTCCGGCGTCAGCGGCGGTGTCAACAATGTATTAGTTTGTGATTAGGTCTAGTTTATGGTGAACCACTAGTGGTAGGTTAATGATATTTGGAATGCAGTTGTATTAGCATTGGCACATCTCATTACCATGGAGATTATTTGGCCCTGCCCCCTCAGTCATGGTCTATTGACTTCTAAACTTTGCTTAGTTTACATGTATTAGTTTGTGATTAGGTCAGTTTATGGGGAACCACTAGTGGTAGGTCAATGATATTTGGTATGCAGTTGTATAAGCATTGGCATATCTCATTTCCTTGGAGATTATTTGGCCCCACCCCCTCAGTTATGGTCTATTGACTTTGAAACTTTTGCTTAGTTTTCATGTATTAGTTTGTGATTAGGTCAGTTTAAGGGGGACCGTTAGTGGTAAGCCAATATTAATTGGTATGCAGTTGTATAAGCAATAGCACATCTTATTTCCATGGAGAATATTTGGCCCCGTCCCCTCAGTCATGGTCTATTGACTTTGAAACTTTTGCTTAGTTTACATGTATTAGTTTGTGATTAGGTCCGTTTAAGATGAACCACTAATGCTAAGTCAATGATATTTTGTATGCAAATGTATTGGCATTTGCAAGTTTCATTTCCTTGGAGATTATATAATCCCACCCCCTCATTATGGTTCATTGACTTTGAAACTTTTACATAGTTTACAAGTAAATGTTTGTGTTTAGGTTTGTTTAAAGGGAACGACTTATGAAAAGTCAATGGTATTTGGTATACAGTTGTATTAGAATTGGCACATCTCATTTCCATGGAAATTGTTTAGCCCTGTACCTTCAGTCATGGCTCATTGACTTTGAATATTTGCATAACTTACATGTTAAAGTATTGCTATTTTATTTCAACATTTGCATTATCAAAATAACAAATAGGCGAGACATATCTCTGTGATAACAGTTTATTTTTACTAAGTTGAGTACTCCATTTGTCAGTAACTATGCAACTACATTTTCACTTAAAGAAGAATATAATCATTTAATAATTTTACAGGTACAAACAGTAACAGCAGATCTACCTAGCACATTGTCATCAATCCTGACTATGGAAGAATTTCAATCAGATAGGTACATACTTTTTTTTTTAACTAAAAATTCCAAGATTTGCTATTGTTATAGGATGGTAGTATTAACTTTTTTGTTTGTTTGCTTGTTTGTTCTGCTTTGTTTTGTGGTGTCTGAACAGCCAAACTTATTGAATCAAGTGCTTCTATTACACTGAATCCGACTGATGGTGGCATTATATTTACTTTGTATTATGGTAGTCTTTCCCAGTCAAGGCATTTCAGTGTTGTCATGGTCTTTTTGTTATTACTTAATCTGTGAAATGATGATTAAATATTGTCAACATTTTGTAATGGTTATCACTTTGGACTAGCATCCAGAGTTCCCTGGATCCTTCTTTTCAATAAGAAATTTATTTTTCTTTTCATCTTACAAATGCATGGAATATTTGCCACTGGACCTAATGCAATATGCCATCAATCAATCATTTATTTTTTCATTCATACTTATACATTATTGATACATATTATATTGTAGTCCTGAGGGCAACATATCACTCAGTCCAGAGGACTTATCAATAGACAGTGATGAGGACATGGATTTCCAACCAGAGGCCCAGTGGGAAGAAGATACGTCTAGAAAAGACAAAGTTGAAACAAGCAAACCTGAAACAGTTGTCAGGGATAAATTATTGGAGAGAAGAAGCAATGTGAACAATGACATGGAACTTAGTGATAGTGAAGATCTGGGACATGTTGTTGTGAGACAAGAACCTAAGAGCCACACTTTAAGTAGAAACAGTGTAGTGAATCAGATAACAGATGATAAAAACATGGAAGATTTAGGCCTTCTTGTGTCTAGAAAAGAATTATCATGTAACAACTGTGATAATATAGAAAAAAAGACTTTGAGACAAGAAATTGTAAACTGTAAATCCTTCAAAAAGATGAAAGATTTATTAAAACAGTTTGACAATTTGGATGAGAATGCTTTTCATTTAAAAACATGTAAAAATAAGCTGAGAGAACTAAAGAAAGAACACCTAATATTGAAAAGAAATGGATCAAAAGACAATCAATTTATTGAACAAGCCAAAGAGGAGGTAATAAAGATAATTGATTTATTAAAGGAAGATAAAATCCTGGAGGAAACACACAATGAACCATGTGTTAAAGATGACAATGTTGATATTGCTGATCAAGTCAGTAAAAATTTATCAAATACCGAGGCATTGAGGAAATCAGAGCACAGAGATTTTAATATTGAAGAGATATTTAAAAAACCATACAAAAACTTATTGAATTTAGTTGAAGATCAGGGAGTTGATACTTCATCAAGAAAAAGACAGACAAAAGTTAAAAAGTGTTCTGTGAATGTTACAATCTTAAGGAAAAAATATATGGAAGAATCAAAGAAGAAAAAGAAAAAACAATATGTTAAGCTAGCAAAAGAGGAAGTGATTGAATTGCTAAATTCTTTCTCTTAATAATTATTAAAGATACTTACTTATATGCATGGCTTCTTTCATTTTAAGTATTGTAAAATTCTATTACTTAGTTATTGCTTATTTTTGACAATCAACAACAAAACAAGATCAGTTTTAACAGAAAAAATGGAAGCTTTTTGTATTGCAGTGTTCATCCTATCACTGTCTCATGATTTTTGGTGATTTAGGTGTCTTGAATGAATGGATATGGATTGAATGTACACAAGACAATATATCTCACATAATGATACTGTAAATTCAGAAATTATTTCTTGTATTTATTATTGTGATTTTTGAAGAAAGGACAAAAATATGAGATTAATTATTGTGATTTCAGGAAAATCTGCATACAGTTTTATGTATCGGATATTGGAATGTGAGTTCTTATTATTGCAATATTCACCCAATCGCATTAATAAAAACCTCTCAATAATTTCTGAATTCACAGTGTTAAAAAAAAACATTGCTATTTATTTTGATTTCATTGCCATATTGAATAGGAAGCATATAGGTATATGCACACAATTTTCACTCAAGACCAAAGGTTAACTTAGGCTAGTCTTTGGTCAAATCTCTCAGGTGCTTAAGTCAAAGTGAAATGATTGGGTCCATCATATCTAACAAGATACATTATATGTCATTTAAATATGGACACAGAGATATATGTCTAACCTTTATGTATTAAATTTTGATAGCATAAAACAAAAGTTGAAATTGAAAAGGCAACACTCAAAATAGGTTCACTATGCAAAAATTTCTAAGTCAATGATCCATGACTAAGGATGCAGGACCAAGTAATCTCAATGGAAATGAGATTTGCTAATGCTTATACATCTACATACCAAATAACATCATTTTTGAACATTGACTTACCGTAGTGGTTCCCCTTAAAAAAAAGTCACAAACTTAAACCCTTAAACTAAAAATAGGCAAAAGTTTCAAAGTCAAGAGACCATGACTGAAGGAATGTGGCAAAAAATATCCATGGAAACTAGATATGTTAATACAACTTCATACCAAATATCAAGACTAATCGTTAGTGGCTTCCCTCAAACTGACATAATCACAAATTTTAACAAATTTGAAAACAGTAAGCCTAAGTAACCCCGCCACAACTTTTTCGAAGCCAAGTTCACAAATTTTAGGTCACTGTGAACTGAAGCTGTGTTTGTAAAATGTATATCAATGTGCATTTAAGTTGCTGATATTGACTCATAATTTAGAAGTGTGATACTAAAAACTGAAAAAGGGGGAGCAGAAACCAAGGGAGTAATCAAAATAATGTTAAAGAAAGACCAGACAACACCATCCCAAGAAGAAAAAAAAGAGCTGCGCCATGAGCGCATGATACATTGATTTTTCAACGAATAAAGTTCCATAACTCCTCAATGTTATATCAGAAATTTGTAAAAAAAATAATGGGAGCTTATTTTAATAGATATAAACCAATCACCAAAGTTTCATGAAAACTGCTAAAAGCATTTTTGATTTATTATCCAAAAACTAAATAATCCCCCCTTTTTTATGAATACCATAATACGCCCTGTTAACAGGTGTATCAAAACAAAGAAAAGACTTCAGAAAGTAAGCATAGAAAAGAGTAGGGTAAAAACAAATAAACAGACAACAATAACTTAAGTGAGAAGATTTGAGAAAACTTTACAAAGAATTTGTCCTGATACATTTGTTCTTAAATAAGTAAGATTATTACATTGGTTGCAATGAATTACTGTGATTTCCCAATGGAATAAAAACCGATAATTTCACATGTGAAATAAACTTGATAATTTCACTCCTCTGACGTCATACAACAATATACACCTATTGACTGGTTATGAGGGTAATAGCAAGTTTGTTGTCCCTGAGATACCAACTATTGCTCGAGGCGAAAAAATTTGAAATTTGAAATTACGACGACAGACACATACAGATTATATTGTTTACGATATTTTAGAGTTTAACATAAAGCACACAAATCCAAGCAGAATAGTCAATGACGTCATTGTTGTCCAAAGAAAAATTAGTATTAAAAAGTCCAGGAAATATGTTCATAAAACTATTCTTATAAACTATTGACTGGCAAATAGTCTGTGGAATGAAATAACACAAATATACTGAGGTATAATAATAGTTATTGTCAAGACATTGTCGATGACTTTGAATCAAAGGAAATTGTGAAGGCTTAAAAAAAATATAGTTCCTTGCATTTTCTGCTTTATTTCCATTAGAAAGCCCATTGGCAATGTAATAAAAAGAATAACTAATCAAAGAATTCAAATATCGAAAAATCTTGTGACCAAACAACACTGATAATTAACTCGTTCACTACTCATATTCATGAACTAATGTGTTGTTCGGACACTCATTGAAAATTTTTATATATTTTAATTCTTCGATTAGATATTCTATAGATAACTTATTACTTCTTTGTGTAGGTTATATCCTGATGTGTCAGTTAATTTTGTAATTCTTTTAATGTGTACATGGGAGAGGATTTTTCTCTGAACAATGCTAGTTTATGTTGTATATTTTGGTAGATAAAATATTGAATCACATATTTTAATAAAAAATGATGTAGAGTATTTTTCAATGAGACAGCAACCAAACAATGCAAAACTCAACAAAAAAAAAAAAAGAAATAGAAGTGTCTGTTGAATAGGTTAATGTGTAGTTTTATCAAAACTTCCATTCAACTCGAGAAAAGAACCTTATTTACTCTGAACATAAAAAAAACTGGAAAAAAAACTTGGTTGGTATTGTAAATAAGTACATCAAGTTAACCACCACATTTTGTCTTTGTACCAAGTCAGACTATGTGGGCTATATGTTATTTGTCTTTGTTTGTACGTCATCTTTGGAGGAGTCAGGTGTTGGTGATTGATGTGGTTTGTCTTTGTTTGTAAGTCATCTTTGGAGGAGTCAGGTGTTGGTGATTGATGTGGTTTGTCTTTGTTTGTACATCATCTTTGGAGGAGTCAGGTGTTGCTGATTGATGTGGTTTGTCTTTGTTTGTACATCATCTTTAGAGGAGTCAGGGGTTGGTGATTGATGTGGTTTGTCTTTGTTCGTCATCTTTGGAGGAGTCAGGTGTTGGTGATTGATGTGGTTTGTCTTTGTTTGTACGTCATCTGTGGAGGAGTCAGGTGTTGGTGATTGATGTGATTTGTCTTTGTTTGTTCATCATCTTTGGAGGAGTCAGGTGTTGGTGATTGATGTGGTTTGTCTTTGTTTGTACATCATCTTTAGAGGAGTCAGGTGTTGGTGATTGATGTGGTTTGTCTTTGTTTGTACATCATCTTTGGAGGAGTCAGGTGTTGGTGATTGATGTGGTTTGTCTATGTTTGTACATCATCTTTAGAGGAGTCAGGTGTTGGTGATTGATGTGGTTTGTCTTTGTTCATCATCTTTGGAGGAGTCGGGTGTTGATGATTGATGTGGTTTGTCTTTGTTTGTACGTCATCTGTGGAGGAGTCAGGTGTTGGTGATTGATGTGGTTTGTCTTTGTTTGTACATCATCTTTGGAGGAGTCAGGTGTTGGTGATTGATGTGGTTTGTTTTCGTTTGTACGTCATCTTTGGAGGAGTCAGGTGTTGGTGATTGATGTGGTTTGTCTTTGTTTGTACATCATCTTTGGAGGAGTCAGGTGTTGGTGATTGATGTGGTTTGTTTTCGTTTGTACGTCATCTTTGCAGGAGTCAGGTGTTGGTGATTGATGTGGTTTGTCTTTGTTTGTACGTCATCTTTGAGGAGTCAGGTGTTGGTGATTGATGTGGTTTGTCTTTGTTTGTTCATCATCTTTGGAGGAGTCAGGTGTTGGTGATTGATGTAGTGTGTCTTTGTTTGTATGCCATCTTTGGAGGAGTCAGGTGTTGGTGATTGATGTGGTTTGTCTTTGTTTGTATGTCATCTTTGGAGGAGTCAGGTGTTGGTGATTGATGTGGTTTGTCTTTGTTTGTACGTCATCTTTGGAGGAGTCAGGTGTTGGTGATTGATGTGGTTTGTCTTTGTTTGTACATCATCTTTGGAGGAGTCAGGTGTTGGTGATTGATGTGGTTTGTTTTCGTTTGTACGTCATCTTTGGAGGAGTCAGGTGTTGGTGATTGATGTGGTTTGTCTTTGTTTGTACATCATCTTTGGAGGAGTCAGGTGTTGGTGATTGATGTGGTTTGTTTTCGTTTGTACGTCATCTTTGCAGGAGTCAGGTGTTGGTGATTGATGTGGTTTGTCTTTGTTTGTACGTCATCTTTGAGGAGTCAGGTGTTGGTGATTGATGTGGTTTGTCTTTGTTTGTTCATCATCTTTGGAGGAGTCAGGTGTTGGTGATTGATGTAGTGTGTCTTTGTTTGTATGCCATCTTTGGAGGAGTCAGGTGTTGGTGATTGATGTTGTTTGTCTTTGTTTGTATGTCATCTTTGGAGGAGTCAGGTGTTGGTGATTGATGTGGTTTGTCTTTGTTTGTACGTCATCTTTGGAGGAGTCAGGTGTTGGTGATTGATGTGATTTGTCTTTGTTTGTACATCATCTTTGGAGGAGTCAATGTTGGTGATTGATGTGGTTTGTCTTTGTTTGTACGTCATCTTTGGAGGAGTCAGGTGTTGGTGATTGATGTGATTTGTCTTTGTTTGTACATCATCTTTGGAGGAGTCAATGTTGGTGATCGATGTGGTTTGTCTTTGTTTGTACGTCATCTTTGGAAGAGTCAGGTGTTGGTGATTGATGTGGTTTGTCTTTGTTTGTATGTCATCTTTGGAGGAGTCAGGTGTTGGTGATTGATGTGGTTTGTCTTTGTTTGTACGTCATCCTTGGAGGAGTCAGGTGTTGGTGATTGATGTGGTTTGTATTTGTTTGTACGTCATCTTTGGAGGAGTCAGGTGTTGGTGATTGATGTGGTTTGTCTTTGTTTGTACGTCATCTTTGGAAGAGTCAGGTGTTGGTGATTGATGTGGTTTGTCTTTGTTTGTATGTCATCTTTGGAGGAGTCAGGTGTTGGTGATTGATGTGGTTTGTCTTTGTTTGTACGTCA